AAATGTTGAGATTTTATTCTGCTGAATATTTAAAATTATTAAGAAATAGATAACCCCATGGGAAGAAGAAATTGACCTCTCTCCTCTGAAGAGGCACTGCCCTGGTTCTGATGTCATGTGGTAATTTAAGAAATGTTATCAAATCTGTCCCTTTTATGGACACTGCAGAGAGAGTTTTCTCAGCTGCTGCTTTAGATGTTATGCTTAGATGTGCCAACATTTCCATACTATCCAATAAGGTCATTGAAAAAAGGCAGACAAGAGCCCATGACATGCTCAACCCTTTGCCAGTTTCCTAAGTAACCTCATTATACCTCAGTGCATAGATTCAGCCTCATAGAGCACTCCTACTAATATTTCTGACATAAGCACTTCAGGAACAGCTCAGTGCTGATGAGAAGCTACACAGTGAGCTGTGTCAGGCTTCCAGCCATCTGATTAGACACCATAAGTGAGTCATATTTCATAAGCAATGGGAAGGCCAAGTGTACTGTAGACACATAAAATAAACTAATCATCCAGATGCCAGCTGTTCCATGAAGCCACAGGGAAAGAAGGAGCAGGATCCACTGGCAGCCGTAGCTTTTGGCCTTCAGTTCACAGTCAACATGGATTTGAGTAGTCTTAGCCTGGAGAGAGCATCAACTTTTCATCTACCTCAATCACCATACATTCAAACATTTTGTGACCCACCTTCAGCTCAGCCAGCCAAAGTCTGCCTATATGACATATTATTCTAGAATGGCTTCCAGTTTGGGTTGGTTTGCTTTAAACTAAACATTCTAATGCCAGAACTCGGCTTTACTTCACTAAAATCACCAGTTATGGTCCAATTTCTAGATCAAGGCTGTCCTTTCTGACTTTGGGAATCTTTGTAAAATATTGTTTTATTTTCACAAACTAGTTTTACATAGCTTGCACCATAGGCTCTAAGTCATTCCATTCACTTTGGACCTTTGTTTTTGTCTTAGCTGTATCTCAATAGTCCCACTGTTCAATAATTGACAAAAAATTGAGTCATCTGCTTAGTTTCCCACAAATGCCTCATAGAGTACCATTATAACCCAGAGGAAATGCAACCTTCTAACACAGCACAAAATATAGCAGATTTCCTCTCACATTCCACATAGCCAGCCCACCCCCACAGTCAGTGCATGTATTCTCCACACTCACCTTAATTAGATCCAAATGCTACTTTGCAATCATTTTACTTCTATCATATTCCTTTTACTCCTCTCCCTTGACAGACTATTATGATCTACTAATCTTACCCCTTTGCTCTTAGCTAAAGATACTGTCATCATTATCTTCAGAGGAAATACAAATACTGTGTCCTTACCTCATAAAATTAACATCTAAGCTTAACACATAGCACCAAACTACCCAAGTACAGTCACAAACATCAGAGAACTTACCCAATCAAATTTCACATAATAAAACATAAGAATCAAGAAAGCACAAAGAAAAGTCTAGAGCATCCTATGTGACTTCACACATCCTACATTTCTATATTGAATAGGTCTCATCTGCCTGAAGAACAGATGAGATTTCTAAGTGAGGTTTGCAAGCCATTTTGTACATTTCAGATAGTTGCTTGTAAAATCACTGCTTTCTATGCATAAAAAGGTGTAGGGATTACATGATGTTTTCACATTTTACAATGTTATAAATTCTAGGTGATTTTAGCATAATGTTAAGCCAGAAGCAAACTATATTGGACATTATATAGATGAGGACTTCCTTTATAGCAAATGCCACTAGTCTATTTACTTAAAGGGTCAGTTATTCCACTTACACAGAGATTAGATGAAGTCAACTCTCCTTTCCCTCAAAAGAATAACCTGGTACTCAGGGCAGAAATGAACCAAGCTTTTGCCTTAAAATTTTTTTGTCACTGCTATTGTGCTGTCCTAATTTGCTTTCTGATGCTGTGACAAATTACTCTGACTAAAAGAAACTTTTAGAGGAGGTTTATCAGCTTTCATTTCAAGGTCATAGACCTTCAATGGGGGAAATCAGAGCAAGAACTCAAGGGAGGAAACTCAGCTAAAAAAAAAAAAAAAAAAAAAACAAACGTGAAGGAATTCTGATTACTGGTCCACCCAGTGGCTCATGCTTAGCTGGCTCTTTGATATATCCCAAGTCCACCTACCTAGAGATCTTCTCCCCATAGGGGGATGGGCCATTCTTCATCAATTAGAAATTTTTAAAAATTCCCAGCAAATATTCCCACATGCCAGTATTATTAAGACAACTGTTCAGTTGAAGTTCCCTCTTCCGAGGTGACTCTAGGATGTGTCCGGTGGGCAATAAAAACTAAACAGCACACATGCATATCCTCATTTATTCTTATTGGAGAGGAACAATCCCTACTTTATCCCAATAAGTGCCATGCACCATACCCTCTCTGATAGGTTTTATTTGAGTGTGTGTGTGTGTGTGTGTGTGTGTGTGTGTGTGTGTGTGTGTGTCTGCTATGTGTCTTATTCTATGATGCATTCTGATACAGCATATATATATATATATATATATATATATATATATATATATTCTTACTCCCTGCCTTCCACTTCCACATCAGCCTTTTGCTCAATGTAAGGGGTTGAACCTAAAGCATCACACATGCCAGACAAGTATTCTACCACTGAACTACATCTCCAGCCCAGCACCTATTCTTTAGTATATAAATCACTTATTTTCTCCTATTAATAATATTCCTTAGTTGTTATCCTAAAGATGTTAATATCTCCTTTGTCCTTACTTTTACATCTGAAATTCAAATTATCTAGTGCTATACGTGACTACTACCTACTAATATGGGCATTCCAACTACTTTCTGTGTATTCCATGGACTATGTAAGGTATTTTAGCTATTCATTAACTATCACCATCTGCATGTTTCCTAAGTGCTTACACTTCAAAATCTGAAAGTAAAATTTGTGTCTATTTCTGTTTTCTAGTACGTCTCTATACCTTTTCCAAAACTGTAGTGAGGCAAACACACATACTTGGATGTGCAAAATAATAGTTGTATAAAATATTCCTTTACCCATTGACCATGACATCTGCTCAGCAGAAAGCAATATTATTTCTATCTCCAAGATAACTCTTAAATCTATTTGCCTTTCAGAAGCAATAAGATTGCTTGCTCTGAATCATTTATCATGTGAGTCTAGTAACTCAACACCCCAAAAAAATTGTAGTACACATTTTCTAGTCATCATAAGAAATAACTCCAAATCCTGAACTAAGGGTCTATGAACTCTTTCATCCTAGTATGCTGGTTCAGAAACCTCGAGATGGAAAAACTGAAAGAGTAAATAGTAATGTTATTTATTCTGACATCATGAGTGTAGCACATTTCCTTTTCATTTGTTTATTTTGTCTTTGTCAATGCTATAGTTTTCATTTTTTCTCCTTTCTTTCTGTCAGTTTTTTACCCACAGCAATAGTCTTCCTGATCCTCAGTTCCACTGATAACAATTTTAAGCAACATTTGGAGGTGGATAACAGGATTGCGAAATCCCAAATACATAATTCAGGTTGATACAACTTTAGGTCTCTCCAGTAAAGCCAAATAATTTTCCACCAAGAAATCATGTTAGAATCTAGTTTTCATAACTCTCTAGCAATGCTTAAGTGATTAGAAATTCACCCCACCCAGTTATGTCCTTTCCCTTAATTATCCACATGATTATAATAAACACACATTATGTATACATAACATTACAAATGTATAGGAACATTATATTTGTAGGGGTAACCTTCATAAAGGAAACTCATCTTGTATGAACTGATGCTACAATCTTAAGACAGAAATCCCTTTACTAGATAACCTTGATTTGGGCTTTTAAGCTCTTCATCTGATTAAACTTTCACTACAAAAGGCAATACCTTTTAAATATCACATGCAGAAGAAAAATGGAAAGAAATAAAAGAAGATATTTTCTTTAATTTAATAGTGTCTGTATCAATTTTAAAAATTTCTATACTTATTCTACACTCCCTCTCCTGACAATATCCATGTATACTTTCATGTTTTCTATATTTACTATAGGTAACTATAGAATGATTTAATTCTAGGTTCCTCAGTAGAGAGAAACAATGTGACATTTGGCTCTCCGGGTCTCAGTTACTTCATTTACTATGGTCTTTCTTCAATCTATCCATTTAACTACACATTTCATAATTATATTTTCCTTTACAGCTGAATAGTATTTCATAGTGTATATGAATCATATTTTCATTATCCATCATCAGTTGAAGGTCATTTAGGTTGTTTTCATTTTCTATTTATTATGAACCAAGTACCAATGAATATGGCTGACAAAGTATATGTGGAGTAGGATGTTGAATCCTTTAGACATATTCTAAAGAGTGGTACACCTGAGTAATTTGATAAATTTACTTTATCTTTATGAGGATTACCCAAACTGATTTCCAAAGCAGCTGTAACAGGAAAGCAATGCTTGCCTCAGGAGTCAATGGAAAGAGAATAAAAGATAGGATGACTCATAACCAGAGGAGGGGAAAATATCATATAAGTTGAACTGTGCAAATAAAACTCAAGAAATTTAAAGCAGATGACATCTTCAAGGAAGAAACTCTCATTTCTCTTGCTTATGAAGAAAAGGGACAGGGGGGAAAAGAGCTTCAGAATAAACAACTGTTATCCATAGGTGTATTATATAAAGTATATTTTAAGTAATAGTGACAACCATAAATTTACTTAATTTCAAAACAGCTATTTTAAATGCTATAGATTTAAATGAAAATAACACAAGGGACTTCAAACTGTGACTGCTTTTATTCATTGTCCAACTTGCATGCCCAGTCTTTTGGAACCCTTTTCTTTTAATCTGCTCATGAAAGTTCTTCCAGATAGAGTCTCATTTTTAAAGATCACAATTCTAGAATCTCCTACTATATGTTTGCTAGCTCAAGTTAGGAGCTGGCTATAGCTCAGAATGAGGGGGTCTTTAACTCTACTTTAATGGTACCTTCTATTTTGAAAGTGAAGATCGGCTCATCCTTGGTCCTAGACACATCTGCAGGAATAGGATCTGTTTCTTCAGGGTTTCTATTACCTGTCAAAGCAGAACATTCAAATTCTTTGAGACTCCTGCTACTGGGGACAACTGATGCTCTTTTAGTAGAGCCTTATCTTCAGGGGCTTGTTCAAAAGGTAGAATTTGATCTCTAGCAGGTGTCTCTTACATTGGAAACTCTTTAATAGGAACCACATCAGTTTTGGAAATCTGTTTAACAACAGGAGACTCTTCTGCAGGAGTCTCAGGTGGTAAAGGCTGAACTTCAGCAGGGGCCCCTTCCAGAGTAGTTTATTCAGTTTGAGGAAGCACAACTTCTTCTTTTAGGAAAAGACTTTCTGGAAGAAACCCCTCAAGAGATGGAGGTTGAACTTCTTTGAGATCCTCCTCAGTTGATGAAGCTGGAATCTTTTCAGGGGTTTCCTCAGCTGGTGGAGGTTGAACTTCTGCAGGGGCCTACTCATCTGGTGGAGGTTGAACTTCTGCAGGGGTCTCCTCAGCAGGTGGAGGTTGAACATCTTCAGGGATCTCCTCAGCTTGTGGAGGTTCAACTTCTGCATAGGTCTCCTCATTTGGTGGAGGTTCAACTTCTGCAGCGGTCTCCTCAGCTGGTGGAGGTTGAAATTCTGCAGGGGTTTCCTTAGCTGGAGAAGGTTGAACTTCTGCAGAGGTCTCCTCAGCTGGTGGAGGTTCAACTTCTGCAGGGGCCTCCTCAACTGTAGGAGGTTGAATTTCTGCAGGAGTCTCCTCATTTGGTGGAGGTTCAACTTCTGCAGCGGTCTCCTCAGCTGGTGGAGGTTGAACTTCTGCAGGGGTCTCCTCAGCTGGTGGAGGTTGAAATTCTTCAGGGGTCTCCTCAGCTGGTGGAGGTTGAAATTCTTCAGGGGTCTCCTCAGCTGGTGGAGGTTGAACTTCTGCAGGGGTCTCCTCAGCTGGAGGAGGTTCAACTTCTTCAGGAGTCTCTTCAGCTGGTGGAGGCTGAACTTCTGCAGGGGTCTCCTCAGCTGGTGGAGGTTGAACTTCTGCAGGAGTCTCCTCATTTGGTGGAGGTTCAACTTCTGCAGCGGTCTCCTCAGCTGGTGGAGGTTGAACTTCTGCAGGAGTCTCCTCAGCTGGAGGAGAGTGAACTTCTTCAGGGGTCTCCTCAGCTGGAGTAGGTTGAACTTCTGCAGGAGTCTCCTCAGCTGGTGGAGGTTGAACTTCTGCAGGAGTTTCCTCAGCTAGAGGTGGTTGAACTTCTGCAGGGGTCTCCTCAGCTGGAGGAGGTTCAACTTCTGCAGGGGTCTCCTCAGCTGGAGAAGGTTGAACTTCTGCAGGGGTCTCCTCAGCTGGAGGAGGTTCAAATTCTTCAGGAGTCTCCTCAGCTGGTGGAGGCTGAACTTCTGCAGGGGTCTTCTCAGCTGGAGGAGGTTGAACTTTTACAGGAGTCTCCTCAGCTGGTGGAGGTTGAACTTCTGCAGGGGTCTCTTCAGCTGGTGGAGGCTGAGCTTCTGCAGGAGTCTTCTTAGCTGGTGGAGGTTGAACTTCTGCAGGAGTCTCCTCAGCTGGAGGAGGTTGAACTTCTGCAGGAGTCTTCTCAGCTGGTGGAGGTTGAACGTCTGCAGGGGTCTCCACAGCTGGAGGAGGTTCAACTTCTTCAGGAATCTCCTCAGCTGGTGGAGGCTGAACTTCTGCAGGGGTCTCCTCAGCTAGAGGAGATTGAACTTCTGCAGGAGTCTTCTCATCTGGTGGAGGTTGAACTTCTGCAGGAGTCTTCTCAGCTGGAGGAGGTTGAACTTCTGCAGGAGTCTTCTCAGCTGGTGGAGGTTGAACTTCTGCAGGGGTCTCCTCAGTTGGTGGAGGTTGAACTTCTGCAGGGATATCTTCTGTTGGGGCACCCTCAGTTGGTGGTGGCAGAGCTTCTGCAGTAGCCTTATCTGCAGGGACTTCTTCAATTGATAGAGATTGACCTCTCTCAAAGACTTCTTCTACAGGAAATTCCTCAGCTAGTACCATAACAATTTCTTTAGAGACATCTTCTACTGCTTGCTTATCTAGTGGTGACATTACTTCCACAGGTACTTCTTTAGAAGCCTCCTCAGATGGTGGAGGATGAACTACATCAGTGGACTCTTCAGCAGTAGCAGGCTTTACCTTGCCAGTCTGAATTGGAGAACTTTGGGCTTTCACAGGTGTTTCTTCTATGATTGGAACCGTAATTTCAGTAGGAAGTTCTGAAGGAGTCACTTCAGCTACTTGGGGAATCTGTTGATCATGAGTCACATCTGAAGGAGCCCCTTGCACTGACAGAACACTATCATCAATAGGAGTTTCTTCAGAAGAAAGCACATCACCTGGTGGAGCCTGGATTTCATCAGACAACTTCTCTGCAGTAAAAGGCATCTTGGCATCAGGGACTTTTTCAGTTGACAGTACCTCTGTTTCAAGAGAATCATTTACGTCAAACAAGGAACCCTCTTGTGCAACAGGTATTGTTTCCTCCTTTGCCTTAATCAGGGAACTACTTGGCATAGACATAATAGCAATTTCTAACTCACTTAAGTACGTCTGTTGTTCTTTGTCCACTTTATCTTTTGGGCAAATGTTCAACAGACTCCAGTCACCAATACAGCTGGTCTGCTGAGATCTGTCTATTAACTGAGTTGTGGGTCTGGTTGTTGGAATCTCTACTTCTGGAACACTCTGTGGCAATGCAGGTGTTTCTCCAACACCAGCTTGGGTTTCTTCAAGGGTAATTGTTTTATCAGTCAATATGACTTTCACTTTTTCTTCTACAGGAGTGTCTGTCTGCAGAGATTTATCAGTCATTTCCATGCCACGCTTTCTCTTTATCCAAGTTTGCTGAAGTTGAGAAGACAGTCTAAGAGGCTCATGTTCTTTTGCAGAGTAGTTGCTTTTGTTTCCAGAAATATTACCAATACTGGTGGTAGCTTTGGGGGCAGGAGGTTGTACTACATTCATGGGTTTCTTTTTTTCTGTTGCATCAGTTTGCTGGGACTTGTCTACCATTGGTTGGCTGGGTCGTCTTCTCCTTCTAAGTTCCTGCCTCCCTAAAGAGATAGGCTGTTCAGGTTCATCACTTTTTTCCATTTCTATGATGGATGAGATCCAAAGTTATAGTCTTCAAGTAATTAATCATTAAGAATCAATCATAAATGTACCCAGTGGTTAAGCTTTTGCCTTCCTTCATTGAATTTTTCTACTGAGCTTAGAAAAAAAATAATTATTAAATTATTTCATTCTTTACTACCGTCTTGTTGGATCCCACCTTACTCATTCATCATCTTTCTTGTTTAGTCTCTGTTAGGACAAATCTCTCTTTTAGAAGCTTCCCTCAAGGGTCTGTGACATCACAGCCACTTCTCCTTACAAGGTTCCGGAAGTTATATTCACAGAAGTTTTAAGCTTGGTGTATTCACATAAGCAATGACTAAAAGTGAGTTGTCTAGTCTTAAAAAATACCAAGTTGAGAGAAGCACATCTTTCCCACATGAAAAACAATTTAACTCCAACAATGCCACTGATTGTTAAAGGTGATGCTTTTGATCTTGGTTATTTTCCTCTTACTATCAAACAAATTTTAATACATAACTCAATATGCTGGAGCAGGTTGTCAATTGTTAGAGTTAACATTTGTATGTGTAGGAATGCCTGATAAATGGATGCTTCTAAGACTTGAAAAGAAGCTACTCCTCTTGAGAATACTTTTGATTTGGAAGTCAATATCCACTCTTTGCTTTTAACCTTCAATGACTACAGCCTTCTAGTATCAAAAGATAATGTTTTCAGTCTCAAACAACTTAAGGTATTTTTAATTTATTTCTAATTATTTCAGAAAGTAGTTTTATCCAAGTTTTTCAGATGGATACTGTTGGATTTAAATATATGTCAGATTAAAAACCTGTTTTTAAAGCTTTATAGATTTGGCTGAACAACCAAATGGAATAACTGCTACAAAGGGGGAAAATTCATCTATCTGGTAATGAATAGGACTGGTTCCATGAAGGTGTTTGATAGGGCTGAAAGGAAAATGATCAAGGGTGAGAGAAGAAGGATTCAGAGTATGTTATATACAATTTATGAAACTGTCAATATGATAATTAATAAAAATTTGTATTGATTTGGAAAAGAGAAACCCCCACAGAGGCAGATTATATGTGGTAAATTGGGATTTTATCACATTCAATACATATACATATACATCCTTTTATTCATATATAACACAAAAATACTACAAGTTATTGATTGACCAAAAGACATACAAAAATACTATTAATCTGTCAAAAACATGCAAGAAAAGAATAAAGTTTTAAAATATATTCACAGGAGTCAAAAACACTTCCTAAATACCATTAATCTGAAAATATTTCAAATTTTTCTTTATTGCTTCTAGACAACATCAAAGCCAAATGAATGCCTGCCTCTGCCACCAATTTTATTTGAGATTTGTAGCCTTCAGGAATGTGAGAAAATGTATATCTATTGTTATCACTCACTTTTGGGAACTTCCTTATTGGAGAGTTGGGATCAAATGCATCATGATTTCACAGTTCCACACTTATGACTCCTGCCTTGACTACTCTTCAGGTTGAATAACTGGAACATTTATTTCAGACTCAGATTGGATGAGTATTTTGATACCGTATGTGACATAATCAAAGAACCAGAGGGATTTTCTGAAAGGCTTCTGCCAGATAATTTGCATTAGTTTAACCAAAAATAAATTTTCTCAATAGCACTTAATTTCATTTAGAATTGTAATGAATTTGAAAGCCATAATTTAGAATTGTCAGACATGCTTCAAATTAATGTGAACCTAATATATAAACTGTGACCTATAATGCTTTGTTCCTAATTGAATAGATCAGATAAGAGAAACCCTAAAATAAGTTCCTGGATCAGTGGATGGTAAGGGTCATTTAAAGTGTAAATCTCTATGTTCCTAAAGTAAAATAAATTAAAAGGTCAGGAGAAACCATAAAATCATGCCAAAAAAAAAAAAAATCACATAAAGATCCTTAATGTCCAAAGCCCTGTAGAAATCAATGTAAAAGATAGTGATAATAGAAAACCAAACACCATTAGTAAAAACAAAATTATAGAAGAAAAGAAATGACCAATAAATACATGAGAAAGATTATCAGAAATCATACTTTCAAGAAACTTGAATTTTGAAAGTAATAGTTTCCCCAAGAAATTTTTCAGCATGTACATATTCCAATGGTATTTCAGGTTTTAGGAAAACAAAATGAAACAAAATAACATGGTTTCCTGCCCTCATGGACCATACCATTTTGTAGGAAAACACAGTATATACAACTTAACCAGAAATCTACAATGAAACAGTATGTGCTGTTTCTCCAGGAATCATTGTGTATATGAACTCACTGCAGCTCTGACTATATGCCTATCTGCACAAGATCATGTCAGTCAAAAATCCCAGCAGAATGAGGTAGGAGCTTATTAAAGCCCTATCCCTATTGGTAATTGATGGCTTCTGGAAGAAAAGCTGCCTTTCTGCAGGAATGTGGCTGCTGAGAGACTACTCATGCTCCAGCAGAGTGTTCTACACCTATGCACATGCAGGCAACACTAAGTGGACTCCATAGGTTTTAAAAAGAAGAGCACATGAAATTGGTAGGGAAAAGTAACTTGAGGAGAGGAGAAAAATTAGAGGGGAAGAAATAGGGTTTGGATTTGGGCAAAACACATGTGTGAAATACTCAAACAAAACTGTAGGTGATGAAGAGAGAAAGGATCTGTATGAAATAGTGTGGAATTGAAAAACCATGAAAAGTGGGCATTGTGTTAAGAAGCAAATGCCACATTCTTGGAAATTGTGAAGGAAGAAGGTCAAGGGGTTGGGGATGCAGTATATGAAATGCGCTGGAAGAAGCTGATAAGGGGCACAATGACTTACAGAATACCCAAGAAATACTATATTGTTTTAAACACCAGAAAGTGATTTCTTATCCTCTGTATTCAGACAGTTATAGGAAGGAAGAAATTAGAATTCCTTTGTGCTGCTGCATTGAAAATGGCCACAGCTGTAGCATCCTAAACAAACGCAGATGTACAACCTCACAGTTTCTGTGAGAACCAAGGTTGAGAGCTGAAGCAAAGATGATCTGGATTCTCTAATCTGAATCCCAGCAGACTAAATTGTATCAGTCAGAGGACAGATTGTAAACCATGTGAAAAGGACTCACTGGGTGCCAGCAGAATGTTTCAGAATGTCTCTAGCCTCAGTTTTCTTGCTGGGAGACAAACTGGGGTAGCTTTCAGCTCCTAGAAGCTGCTATCACATCCTGGTCAAAATAATCGCCTCACAGCATAGAAGGTTACAAAGACAATCTCTTTTCAGTGTGCTAAAAGAGAACCTTATACTTTGTCATACAACAAAACCTAATTAGGAAAGTGAATACTCCAAGTTATTTAGAAACACCATGCATACACATATGTTATATATTGACAGGGTGCAGGGCAAGGATCTTAGAGGTTATTATAGAGGTTTATGTATCATAGAAGATAAGCATAAAATTCCAACAATCAGGTAGAATGCTGATAAGAAAGGAAAACCCTTTCTTGTCAGTGAACAAAGCCATCACTACCCTGCATTTCAAAGCCAAGTAGAATTGGGCCTGGAAAATACATGACTACAAGTAAGTAATGAATGGATAGTATTGTGGACAGAAAGGAGAAGAGTGGATATTGGTTCATGTTGTAATTAAGAAGAATTGGATTAGAACTAGGGGAGAAAAGAAATGAAGGTTTCTGGGGAAGGGAAAGTCAGTTTTCTTCAGAGATATAGCCCCTAGTAGGTTGCCTGTGTTCCAGCAAATCACAGCCATACCAGTGTGTATATGGGCAGCACTAATTAGACTCAGTGAGTTATAAATGGAAGCAGTGAGGGAAAAAAAATGACATGAAGTTGGGAAAGGATGTGGTAACAGCATCTACAAGGAGGGATGGATATGATCAAATTGTATTGTATAAGTGTATGAAATTCTCAATAAATAAAAAATATTTTTAGAAGAATGATGATCTAGATACTAGTTTCTAAAGCCATGTGAATGGAATACCATTTACTGAAATGGCGAGAAAGCAGGAAACTAGACCCAGCTAGTGAAAACAATATCCAGCTTTAAATTTGAACATTTTGATTTTTTGATGACTATGGAAAGAAAAATTGAGATGCTAGGAGATTTACTGCATGAACAACTCCATAAGTCATAGGAATAGCATGAGATACACTTGTGAACACTGTTGGAAATACAGACAATATTTACAACTGTGAGTTGGATAAGCTTACCTAACAAAGTCCAAAAAGATATCTACAATTAACCCTGTTTAACCAATAGATTTTTAATTTAAGATGGGAAATGAAGCTAGAAAAAGATAACTAACAGTGAAAATGCATAAATGGAAAACTGGGAAATTGTCTTGTAGACACTACAACAAAAAAGTGATTCAAGAAAGTAGTTACTCTTGTTAGATGATGACAGGGGCATGAACTTTACTGTATGTGTCCGTGTAGTTATTAATTGAATTTATCCAAGATACCCTCAACAAAGGGTTTAACTTGAAGCTATGTAGCATTTACTAAGAAAATACCTGCTCATGGGTGTTAACTCTAAAACACTTTTAAGCTAAAGATTATAGAAAAAAATATTTATTGTCATACTAAACAATAGGATACTTCCAATTTTAATAGTAAGGGAATGGAAAATAGCATATTTTTATTTTTAAATATTGTGCAACCACTAAGAATTTTGCTACTGAAAAAAATAGTAGACAGATATTAATCATGAATAAAAACACTAATTGTAAAAGGAAGACACATTTTAATAAACTTATTTTATAAAATATATTGTATATATATATATTATATATACACAAATATGTATGTATGTGAATATGTATGTATATATGTTGCACACAAATAAAATGATATAGTTATGGGCTAAATATTAAAGGATACTTAAGTTATTTTGTATTTTATCTTTTCTATGTTTCCATATGTTTCACAGTAGTGTTTTTATTTTCATTGGCAAAGGTAAGGGTTGTTATTATAAAGTGATGTTCTGAAGTAATTAAAATATATACTGTAAAAAATAATAGAACTGATCAGTATTATTTTTTAATATTAACTCATGGAAGAGATGAGTAGTAGCTACACTTTCTGTGGCTCATAGGAGCTGTAACAATAGGTTACTTTACTTTTTTGGGATTTGGTTATATTCAGCAAATTGAGGGCATTTGGCAAAAGATCTAATGGAGACTGAATATCAAGGATCCCTGG